AAAGGGCTTAATTAAGCTAGATTTTATTTCTACTGAATTTCAAATTGCTGACATTTTAACTAAGCCTTTAAGCAGAGACAAGTTTGAAAAGATGCGTGTGGAATTGGGGATGCTACGGCTCAAGTGACTTTTGTTTGGAACCCCTAAGGTAAAATCGGATGTAACTAACGATGCTATGCTCAATCTTGTGTGCATAACACAGCTGAAATTACCCAGGGGAAAGATTTGTGAAGTATTGAAAAGTCACGTATACATACTTTTAATATGTTAAAAATATTGAGCCATGTTTTTTTTAAGTTCCCTTTTCATCATTCTTTACTCTCTGTATCATGATCACGTAAATTATCATCATAATTTACAATCAATTTGCTCTTATTTATCCTTTTCATTTTTTATTTATCTGTTTTTTTTTCTTCTTGTTATTTTCTTTCTTATCTTTTATTCCTATCTTATTTTTTTATTCTTATCTTTTTCCTTCCTTATTTTTTCATGATGAATTTTTCTATTCCTCATAGAATTCAAAAATACAAAAAGATCTTATTTGCTACGTAAGATAAGAAGCATGTATATCAACTTCTTAACTTACGATTTTATTTTATCAACATTGAATTAGATGAGTGCAATTATTTCACCAAATTAAATCCTACTACCTCTAAAACTACCCCACTACCTCACAGTTTAAACCGTCACTTTTCTTTCTCACTCCTCCCCATTAAACTCTTTTTCTTCTTTTCACTCCACCTTCACCTATCAAATCAATTAAATTCCCCATACACTCCCATAACCGGCCTCACTCTCTCTCCTTCCTATTCACACTATTCATCTTCTCCTTCCCTTCATTTTACCTTCAACACCATGAAAACCAACCGAAACACCACCCCAAAAACCCGATCACCACCATTCAAACCCTCCTCAAACACGGGGTCTCCACAACCGGTGCCAATTGCGGTGGTGCATCCATCTGCTCAGCCAAAGAGGAAGGCTAAGGCTGTGAAGGGCGGCGACAGGAAACGGCGCGCAACCACCAAATTCCCATCATGGAATTACACTCTCGGATATCACATCAACTATGATTGGTGTGTGGCGAGTAAGTTCACTGAATTTACTTCTTTAATTGATTATCAAAAATGGACTCACTTGTTCCAGAATTGTTCTCATTACCCTGTTTATCCTAAATTTATTTATGAGTTCAAAAATACCTTTCAATGTGATAATGGTGTGTGCTCGGCCGTAGTTAATGATATTCCAATTTCGTTTGATGCCAATTATCTTGGAAATCTATTTCAAGTTCCTGTTAAAGGCTATTGTTCTTATTTAAAGTACAAACAATCTGTAAACATTGGCCATAATGATGAATGCAAAATCCTTCAATTTATTGGAGGAAATCCGAAAGTGAAAACTACTCACCATCATGCCCTAACACCCCTTCATAAGCTACTGTTTACCTTCACCTGGAAGGGTATAGTACCCCGTTTACAAAAACGGAGTACCGTATCACTCTTGGATGCCTCCCTCATATTCTGTCTTGCATGCAAAATACAGATTAATTTCCCTGCTCTAATGATTGAACACTTGAATTTTTATGCTCAAAAGACCACAATTCCATATGGCTCTTTCCTTACTGTGTTGTTCAAATCTTTTGGTATTGATGTTGAATGTGAATCCCCAACATATCTCAAACCCGATAATATCCTCTCTGAACAATCATTACTTAGACTGAGTCTTAGGCTTACAAATGGCAAAGTATGTTTTGTGCCTCGGAAAGGAGGGGAGAAAAAGAAAGGGAAAGGGAAAGAAGCTAAGGAAGAATGTGATGCAAGCAGTGACCAGGGTAGTGAGGAGGCTAGTGAGGGTGCTACCACCTCCAGTGATTCTGAGGGAGATAAGGAAGAAGAAAAAAGTTCTAACAGAGAGAAAAACAAAGAAAAAATACTTGAGGGAGATGTGCAAGGAGAAAAACAGGAAGATTCTGAGGGGGAACATATGGAAGTTTCTGAGGGGGAAGCTCGACAATCTGACTTACATGAGGGGCAGGGAACTGATCAAAGTGAGAGGGAACATACCACAGACTCTGAGAGCACAGCTGGACCACCTGTCATTCCTGTGTTTACAGGGGGCCTTAGAAGGAGTAAGAGGAATGTGGTCAAGCCTGCCCTTTCTACTACACACCCTGTGACTGTAGAAACCATCAGCTCCTCAGACAAATCTGATTCCACCTTCAAACCTACCCAAGTTCCCTCTTCCACTGAACCCTCTTCTATTCCTGTCTCACCTACTAGGCAGCCTTCTCATTCACCTTCTCCTCCTCCATTTCAGCCTACTGGCTTTGCTGCTTTCTCTGGAACTCGTGTGTCTGTTTATGATTTTCAACAGGTTCAAGCAGATATGGAGAAGTTGACTACTCTGGTGAGCAAGAAACTGGAGGAAATGGCCTCGGAACTGCTTTCTCTTAAAGGCCAGGTGCAGGCTCTGGCAGATTCTCAAGCAACCGGATTTGCAGGCGTAGAGGCAAAGCTTGCACAGGCTGAAGGCAAGTTTAGTGAAGGCAACAAGGAGATCTTGGAAACTATCAACAGAGTAGCCTTTGAGGAAGTCGAGGACGACTCTATTGATCCCACAAATCCAACCCTTGATCCTACCAATGCAGCCTTTTAAATCCTTGATTGCACTTATTCTAATTTCATATGTTGAACAATTTTATTTTGGTCTTGTTTAATCTCTCTGAACTTTGGTTTGTACGCCTTTATCCTTTGCTACATTCTCTATGTTCCTCTTCTATTTCCTAAATCGGAACTTGGCTCGTATTTTTCATATGATTGTGTGTGGTTGCTGATGATTTAGTACCTAACTTATTTTTGCCTTGCATTATTTGAGCTCACTATTCCCTACGTAGTCTAGTGGGAGTATAGCAAAATGTTTTTTTTCAATCTTTTGATAATGCCAAAAGGGGGAAAAGACAAACTTCATGGCGGCTAAAGTGTTTACCAAGGAACTCACACATCGAAGGTACAAACTTTTGCTAAGTTCAGTTTTTAAAGTCTTTGTTAATTTTTCTTTTGCTCAGTTTTTTTAAAAAAAAAAAAAATAAAAAAAATAAAAAAAAAAAAAAAAAAAAATACTTTTTAATATTTTTCTAAGTTCTTTAATTTTTTTTTTTTTTGTTTTCATGTCTTACTTTAAATTTCTGTTGCATGCCTGGATGATTTTATTTACCTAAGTTTGTCAATGTTTGTCATCATCAAAAAGGGGGAATTTGTTGAGCCTTTTGGTTTTGATGGACAAATTGACAAACTCGACTAATGAATGTTTTGAGTCTTTGGTGAATAAAGGGTTCAAGCAAAGTTCGTTCCGGAGTAGGAACTTGGATGCGGAGTAGCATTCTTTAAAAAGCCTCGTGCAAATCTCACGTTCTAGTTTTAATTGTGAGCACTCAATAATATAAAGTCGGAAAGGAACTCAATGACTTATGTTAAAGACTACTGGAATAAAAGTTAGTTTTAAAAGATAATTTCTTAAAGAAAAGATAATTTGTAAAAGTTTTAATAAAGATAATTATCGAAGATAATTATCTAGTTGTTTTAATAAATAATAAATTTATCTTTTCAAATAAAATCTTTTTAAACAAACTTTTGATAATCTTTTAAATAAATATTTGATAAAGTTAGCAAGTGGTTTTTCTGTGAGAAAATCTTTTATACGGCTAATGGTTATCAAGTTGTTAGGATAGTGGTTTAATTAGATAAGGCTAGGAAACCTCTTCATGATCACAATCTGTCAAGATAACTCCACAAGTTGTTAGTGGGTTGTTGACATGTGGACGTGATTATGGTGGAGGTTAATGACTAAGCCTTCTCTATAAATACTCATGCAAACTATCTCAGAAGAACACAACTCTTGAGCATAAAAATTCCAGTAGCCATCTAATAACATAAAGAGAGTTATTATCCTTCTTACATTCTTGAGTGCAGTAGGTATTTGTAATCACATATTGTATTCAAGTACTTTGGGGTTGGGATTGTGAGTTTGTAAGGTGAGGTGAAGGAAGCTTCGTTGCTGAAGTCTTCTGTGAGAGTTGGGAACAAGTTCCTAATTTGTGGAACTTGTTAACGGGTTTGAATCTTCACTTGTAAAGAGTTTTGATTACATAGTGGAAATTTAGAAAAGCCTATATCTTCTCTCGTCATTATTTCATTTACTTAAAATCCGCAAAAAGGTTTTAGATTTCACCTCAAATACAATTCACCCCCCCTCTTGTATTAGCCAGTTAGACTTTCAGATACGTTAGTCAATTAAAATTAAATTAGCTATAACTCATTCATTCAAAAAAAAAAAAAAGAAAAAAAAAATTTGTTAAAAGCTCACGCATGCATTACGTGCATAAAGGGTTAGTTTTGTATAGATATTGTCAATTTCAAAACCTATTTTGTGTAATCATGCCCTTAATCAGACAATTTTGGATTTTTATTTTATATGGTAGGGAAGAGCCTCACCAGACCTAAACCCTTACGGTTTTTTTGGTTTAATATTTGCGGGTCAAATACTTGAGTAAAAGAAAGGGTATTGAAATCCCTACCTCCAAACACCCTCACTTGGTAGAATTTGAATTCCAGACTTCTAGAATTTGAAGTAAGAAACTAGACAAGTGAGCCAACACTTTGAATTTTGGATTGGATGAACAAATTATGTTCCTTTTAATCTACAATAATTGATAAAGTGGTTACCTTTAATGCAACCAACCCTTTGGTTAGTTCCCATGTGCAATCTTTAAGGATAGATTTTGCTTTAAGGAATAATTGTTTATTTGACCATTTCCATACTCTTATCTTCAAATCCAATTTGTTTCTTTCCACCATAAATGAAGTTATCATGGGGTCAGAGAACCTTAATTGATTGAATAGTACTTGAAATTGTTCATTCTAGTTGTCACTATTTGTATATCCAACAAGGAATTAAGTATATTTGGAGGGAGTTGAACTTTGGCATTAGTTGTATACAAGACCTGATTGAATTGTACATCATTACATATATCAATGAAGTTAGTAATAACCTACAACGTTTTCTCGAATAATTTTTACCAAAGAAGTGTAAGTACCAAATATTGTAATCAATATACTAAACATTACAGTGCCTAACACTAATAGTCCCTCGCCTCCTCTTATGCATTTGCCTGAAATCTTCAAGTAAAACAAGCAAGGAAGTATAATTGACGCAGTAATGCTTAAAAATGCTCCAACAAGAGACATGAGAAACCCGAAAAATGGAACAACCAATGCTACGATTACTTGACTAGTAACCAAACCAGTCCTCAACATAAACTTAATGTATTTTTTCTTGTGATGATTTGGGAACCAGCTTTCGGTATAATTCACAACAGGTTCTAACATTAGTGCATATTTGGATATCGGATTCACCAATGTAGTGTAGATTGCGATCTTGGAGCTCAATGCCTCAATTGGAAGATTCAGAGTTATTTGAGAGTTTACTTTTGAACCATACATCAGATAGCCAATGACTGCCATGGACGCGTAGCCAATAGTTGAGCAAAGGAAACAGAGAAGTAATACCTGTAGACAAGTTAACAATGCAACAATATAAACTCATATAAACAATACTTGTATATATATATCAGTCTTTTTCAATGTGTTGTTAACTATAAACATAAGAAACTTTACCTTCGAAAACTGATGTTTTTTCTGCATTGAGTTGTATAAGCTAGGAAAAACAGGATGAGCGCAATAACAGAATCCATATAAACTAACAGTTGTAGGAATGCCTGACCAATTTAGGAGTTCCCCTTTGTTGTGAAATCCGATTCCATCAAGCGTGCCAACAGAAAAAATGGACATGATTATCACAACAGATGCGATAATACCAGTAGCAGATATGTAAGAAAGAATACTCAGATCATCCAAATAGATTGAAGGAAGAATAATAAGAGCAATAATCAACACAAAGCTCTCTCTTCCTCCAATTTTTAGTCCACACGTATCGAATTTCATTTCAGGGAAAAGGTTATGCAGATTGTCTCCTTCCATGATCAGGAAACCTGTTACAACCAAGTATAACTCTGTACACATAAACACTGATGTTATTAATCTTCCAATCTTTCCAAATGCACGATCTCCGATATCAGGGTAAGTTCTTATACTCGAATCGGCTTCCATGCATCGCTTTATAAGTAAGCTTGTGTAGAATGCAGCCATTGCTACAATTAAAAGTAACAGCAGGCTCAACCATCCACCTGAAGCTAGTGAATATGGTACTGATAGTATTCCAATCCCTAATATAATTATAGTAGAATTATGAGAAAAGAAATTAGATCATTGAATTTGTATTAGATGAAAAACTAGTCTAATTATAAGTGATTGGATCCTTTATCATCCTATTTTGGGAAGAAGTTAATGGGGGTAATAAATCCTGTTTAAAATAATTGCACAACTTTTTTTTTTTTTTTTTGTTTTCTTTGGGTAAGGCTACCATTACAAGAACTTAACTCTCGTAATTTTTTGGTAAGGGAGTACTCCCAAGAACCTCACTTGGGCACAATTCGAGTTTCATATCTCTGGAATATGGGATAAGAATCTTATTAAATGAGCTAAATCTTATTAAATGAGCTAACATTTTGATATTGTATAACTATTGCACATACTCCCTCCATCTCTTTTTTTTTGCCCCATTGCAAAAATATGGGTCAAACTTTTAAAACTTTGATCATGAATTCTCGTGAATCTACAAGTGATAATATATTTATGAGGAATCTTGTCAGAATTGTCTCATTGTATAGTTTATTAATATCAAATTTTAATAATTTTTACGCGTATAAAAATAGAGATATATACGTTTAAAGATGCGTCTTGAAGACCGTAAAAAGTCAAATTGAACAAAAAAAATAAGAGACAAGCGAATATATAATATAAATTTCATTTGTTGTTTTTCATTTGGATCTTACAATATTCTCACACTTCATTGATCCTATTTTTTGATTTGATAGTACGTTAAGTACGAGAAAGTCATGTGATATTTTGCAAAATTCGTCTGGATACACACTTTCAAAATACAAACTTTTAATAGTATGTATAAAATGTGAACTGATCCTCAAAAAATTATAAATGGTGCAATTAAAAAACAAAAAATCGAGAAATAAAGTAAAGTAGTCAAAGGAGATAACCTGAGAGAGCGTTAAGGCCGTTGAAGAAAGTCTTCAAGAAAGAGGAGTTGCCTTCTTCTGTTAAACATTTATCGTTGGCCTCCAAATGATTCTCAAAAGAGGGTGGCTAATCATAACTTTTTCACTCACTCCACCCTTCATTGCCACTTTCTAACCAATTTAGGAGAGAGAGAGACTGAATTTTAAGTATAAGATAAAAAGAAAGTAGGGTCATGTAATTATTTATAAAGCTTTGACACTTGGGTAGTGTGAATGTGTGATTGATTTAAAAAGGTTAAACACATGGAATAGAGGCGAGGATAATAGTAACTACGTTTTTGTACCATTGTCAATTTTGGACTTACTTCGTGTTAGGCTAGGTTTAGTTTTACTTATTTCAAGACCTTATTATTTATATTAGGTCCATTAGAAAAATAAAATACTACCTCTATCGCATATTACTACTCTCTTCGTCTCATAATTTAATTCTTATTGTGTTTTTTTCACGGTATTTAAGAAATGGGAAAAGAAGTGGAAGAAGAACATTAAAAGTAGAAAAAAGCTAGACAAAAGTATAATGTAAGTGGATAATTTGAGAGGAAAAGAAGTGAAAGTACAATCTAATTAACCTATATTAAAAGCAAATCCTTCCATGACACTTGTCATTATCTTGTGAAAAAATTTCCCGCCTTTTATTTTTATTTTATTTTTTTTACCTTATGATATTTTCTTTCCGGTTTGACAATCATATTCCATATATACCCAAATGAAATATTTCTGAATATCTTTTATATACTTTATATTTTGTAATATTATTGTTAAAAATATTTAACAACCGTGCATTGCATGGGAATTTAACCTAGTTATAGACAAACAATGCAAGTGGACAAGTTAGGGGTAAATTAAGAAATTTAATAAATAAAGTTAAAAAAATGAGGGTATAAAGATCTTTACATACTATCCGAAAATAGAAACAGGAACAACATTTTGGGTCTCCAAAATAGAAAACATGAACTATATTGTGGGACGGAGGGAGTAAGTAGTATTATTTTGAAAGACGCACGGACTCCTAGCGATATATGTTTATGAGTGTAAAATTAAATAGAGAGAAAAATATGGACGCATGTGATAAGGAGAGAGATAGAAAAAAATGACAACTCAAAAAGGAAAGATTAAAAACTTTTGTTGCAAATAATGTGTAGCATCCATTATTGGAAAAAGTTACAAATAATATGAGTTGGTGGTAGTAAGTTATAAACATATTTTATCGCCTATTTATAATTGGGAAATATATAGTACATTACTACTCGTTTTGATATTTTTTTTCCTTATACATTAGCATACATATAAAGTTAAAGTTTAGTCAAATTAAACAATCAGATCAGATAATTAAAAAAAAATACTCCATAAAAAGTTTAGATTAAATTTATTAAGTAAAAATAAGGTGAATCAAACATAGCCTTAAATGATTTCAGGTAAGAAGTAGAAGATATTTTGATGAATTTAGATTTATTGTTTAAGACATACGCAATATTAATTAATTTTTAAGGAATTCGTGTTAACTTATTTCGAGTTGTAGATATTTAATTAAAAGCGTTTCGATTTATGGTTTAAGACATTTGTTAGGGATGGCAGTGGATCGGGTCAAATAAGAGACCTGCCCCATCCCCACCCTAGTGGGGCGAGGATGGAGAAAGGTTTAGTGGGTGATAGCCTGGAGCGGGGATGGGTATAAAAAGTGTACCCACCACGGGCGATGGGGCGAGTATGAATTTTAGTTTAAACCCACCCCATCACCCGCCTTATACTAAGTTTTGTAAAGGTCGAAACAAACTTGAAAGAGTCTAAAATCTAGATAATATTACAATATAATAAAAATAAAATATTAAATTAATGACTTTAATATCGTATGAATTCCTCCGAGTAGATGAAAAAAGAGATTTGTTAGAAATGATAATCCTTCATATTGTGTGACATAATATGAAATTATGGTAGCGGGTATGAGGCAGGTTTGAGGTGGGTATGGATATCCAAATGGGTGGAGCAGGGATGGATATCAGCTTGTATTCGGCGGGGCGGGTATAGATGTGGGTATTGTACCCACCATAAGTGGTGGAGCGGGGATAGGTATCAAATTTTTAGGCGGGAATATATGGGTGTAAAGGTACCATGATTACCATCCTCCGTATCTGACCCGTTCCATTGCCATCCTTAATATTTGTAAGGACTTTTGAGTTAAATGATTTTGAGATGAAGAGTTAATTGAAGCCTTTGTATTTATGGTTTAAGACATATATTTACAAGGACTTTGACTTAAATGTTTTCCGTGTGAAGATTTATTGAAGTGCTTGAATTTTAAATATGGTGTAAGCAATATTTGTAGACTTTTGATTTAAATAAAGGTGGCTAACGCGTGTGATGTGGTGCCTTAGGTAGCGTCATGTGTGAGGAGCTCTTTCGGTTTGACCTTATATCACAAATTTATTAATTGTTACTTGTTAGTAGCAATAATGAAGAAAAATAAGTAATAAAATATTTTTAGGGGTATAAATGTCCGCACACTATTTTAAGAGTTTTAAAAAAAAAGCAAATAAGTAAATAGCCAGTTTAAAAGGTATAATTATCCAAACACTATACATAAGACTTATCTCAAACTTTTTATGAAGGGTTTGAATATATGGTTTAAGACATATTTACTAGGACTTAGACTGAAATGATTTCTATGCGAAGATTTTTTGAAATGTTTGAATTTTGTGGTTTAAGACATATTTTCAGATTTTTGATTTAAATGATTTCGGGTTGAAGATATTTTCAGGTTTAAGCATTTGGATGTCCTTTTTTTTTTGTGTCATATTGGATGTACTTGTATGATTTAAGGTATGCGCTCAAGGACTTTGTTTTAAATGATTTCGAGTAAGGGAAATTTTAAAGTAATTGATGGTTTAAGATCGGAAATACTAGTTCCACATTAGATTAATCGCAATAGTTTGACTCGGGCATTATTCACATAATTATTTTGACTACATTATTTACCAATATATAATAAACCAAAATTCTCAAAAAATTACTTTCACTATATTATTTACCAATATATAAAATAAATCTTTATATATATATATATATATATATATATATTCATTATACCAATGTTTTATATATACTTCCTACTAATATAAAATTGCTAATTTTAATATTTTTTTTAAAAAATGCAAATATTAATGCTTTGTGGTCAAATTTGAGCTTTGACACGTGTATCAGTCAAGGTATTATAATTAATATAAAACGGAAGAAATATTAATTTTAAAGGACTTTGAGTTAATTGATTTCGTGTTGATGAGGATAATTTGAAGCATTTAAATATTTGGTTAAAGACATTAATTTTCAAGGACTTCGATTTAAGTGATTTGAGTTGAGGGTATTTTGAAGCATTTGGATTTATGGTAAAAGACATACTAATTTTCAACGACTTCGAGTTAAATGATTTTGAGTTGAGGATATTATAAAGCATTTGAATTTACTACCGAAGACATATCATTTTCTTAAGGATTCCGAAGCAAATTATTTCGTGTTGAGGATATTGTAAAGCATTTGGATTTATGATTTAAGACATATTTTCAAGGACTTCGAATTGAATAAATCTATTGATTTGGAAGGAGTTTACCCTTAGCGCATATCTGCTATTTGCTAGCGAACAGATAGGATGGAAAAATGTGCCACTGCATGCATAATATATGAAAGGTGGTAAGTATTTTGGGGGAAAATATTCAACCTATTAAGGCAAAAAGTACCACTACATGCATACTAGTACACAAAAAGTACTATTAAGACAACTTATACTTTAATGTACATTATACATGCATAATGATACATTATAATGTACCACTGTAGAGTCACCTTTTTTCATTTTTAATTCTGAACCCTGTCAAATTTACATTTCTGCCATCCTATATGCATTATAAACACATAGTAACTATGCGTTGAGATGAAAGTCATTCTCGATCTGCCATTACTTTGAATAAAATGCTTTTTACTTTTGGTGTAAAAATAAATTTGTGTTCAAATTTTGGCAAATCCTTTTGTTTCTGGAAATAGAATTCTCTTCGGTGTGTAAGAGTATTTCGGTATCAAGATGTCCTAGGCTTGATGTCCAAATGTATCTGAGCCCTGCCTTGCAAGGTTGTCTGAGAGTTGGGCCTGTAAGACAGTAAAGTTAAGATGCCCTGGGGGGTTGACTCGGGAAAGCCCCTCCGATGCTTAAGTCAGTAAAAAGTACTTTCAAGAGAGAGAAAATAGAAAGAGAGAGTACTTTCTAGAGAGAGAAAGTAGAGAGAGATTTGAAAAAATTACTATCATTAATCATTGGCTTGCTATTTATAAATGTACTTTCAGGTAACAAAGTTATACTTTATTGAACATATTAGGGGTAAATTCGTACTTTGTGATGATTAATGGATGGTTAATGATGATAAGCTGGATTATGGAGGGGTATTTTAGTCATTTCAGGTACAGTAGGCTTAGAACATCAACTAGGTGCAAACATTTATCCCCACGCGTGGTGTGCGAACGAGATCGTATGAAGTTCGCATAGCACGCGGAAGAAGCGTAGTTGAGGCTGAGAAGTCGTCATATGAGTCGGAATGACGTTTGATTATACATGAGGGCTAAAATGAGCCCCAAGCGACTTACAAGGGTGATGACTAGCCCCAAGCAGTTAACAATTTTATCTTATTATCTTATCTTATGGCATAGAATGGTACTTTCATTGTACAAGTAAAAGATAAATGGACATAACACACTTTATTGTTTTTGGAATCTATTGAACACTTTGATGATAAGTTGAAAAAGCGTTAATGTTTTTATTAAGGTTTTGTAAGTCAAATGATAGAAAGTTCAATCAAATAGAAACTTGCGTTTCACATTTAACTACTCACGTCTTGCATTGCCTTGTCAATTATACACCCCCTTACCCATCAACCTTTTGTTTTGCGCTTTTGCCCTTTCCTATCTTATTACTCGTCAACCTTGAATGCATTTGGTAAAGATGTAACTTGTAACCAATTTATTGGTTCCCAACTTTTGTACTTCATACCTCTCTCTCTCTCTCTCTCTCTCTCTCTCTCTCTCT